AAGCAGAACCTCATTCTTCACAGCATGTTTTCTGCTTCTGAGCTAGAGTTTGCTTCTCTCTCCATGGAGTAACTTCCACATTCACCTGGGTATGAAGAACCCTAGATTTGTATGTTAGGTCTGATTGTATGAACCCAAGTATGAATCCATTGATTTTATTATATTCAATTGAGGTCTGATTTATTGAATGACATGAATCCTGATCAAATTCATGTTATTTCTGCTTTGACCTAGAAAGAGAATATATGCCTAGGTTGATAGAGCACCATTGATTCAAGGTAGTGAATTGACGACTTTAGTCAAGGAGTCAATTCACTATTCTGTACCGGATTTACCTCAGTAGAGGAGGTTTGGTTTGTTAGGGCCTCAATCTGTTTACTCCGGTGGAGGCCAGTCGCCCGTTGGGGACTCAGATTGAGAGGGTCTGGAGACCTTTAGTCGAGACTGCAGACTATTTAAGAACCTTCCGCAGTATAACTATCTTTGAATTCGAACTTGGTACATTACAATTTGGCTTAACTGCAGTCTAGGGGGAACCATATCCGGGTGACCTCTCTCAACTTGAAAATAACATTTTACTGCTTTGCTTGTTTGTTTACTTGGACCTTCACTACATTTTCATTGCTAAATAATAAGAATTCGCGGAGTAGTCATCACACTTAGGACCCGGCTTGACATTAAAACCCAAACCCACTATACTACGCACTAGTAGGTGGTTGCACTTGGCCATTTTCTAGTGTGACGGTAAAGGCGAGTCACATATCCATCACAATTTCCAATACTCATTTTTCTTCCCACTTTCCTCCATAAAACCTCATTTACCTTCTAATTTCCTTAACCTCCAAATTGTCTCTTCCCCTCCCATCCATTTTCCTCCCCTCCTTTTGGAACATAGGCTAAATGCATGAAGCAAACAATGGATTTTGGACGAACTCAATGATAGATCCAAATCTCTCACCAAATCTATCAAGCAAACAAGCCTTTAAGGTTTTATAAAATTTAGTTTTTGAAAATTCATGAATATATGAGAAATTTTTATTTATTAAGTACTTGAAAAATACTATTGTTTGAGTTCATAGATTTCATTTCTTGATGGATTTCAGTAATTAGATTTATATGTATGAAGTGAAATTGATACTATTGTTCGAGTCCATGACCATGGTTATCACGCCAGTGCAATGTCAACCGCTTAAACCTATTTAATGGTGTCGGGCATGAATACCACTAGTATGACTAGCCCGATCAATTTTCAGCCTATAAACAAAATGATGCCATTAAAGTGAATTTAATTAATAAAAATTATGTTTTGATTTTTATGAATTTATTAATTAAATGTTGATGTTATTTGTAAGTATTATAGTTTGTGCGTTGACGCTAAATGTTATATTTAAATTTGATTATTTGTTATTTGGGTTGGAATATTGTATTTTATTTAAGGCAAAATACACCTCGATAAGCATAATTATCCAATTTTATGAATAATGTACACTTAGAAAAATACACAACTATACTCACACTTTTTAAACTTGTTTGACTAATTTAGCCATTTATGTTAAAACTGTAATGACATCAACGGTCCCGTTAGCTAAGTAGAAGTCAGACTAATGTGGATGCCACTTGGAGGGATTTTTCCAATAATAGCACCCTTTTAAAAAATAACAAAAATAGCACACAACCCACGCAAATTCCAAAAATAGCACCTTTATTTTAAAACCGCGTGGTCTAGGTGCGTTTTACCAAGAAACCGCACACTGAGGGTGCGGTCCTCGCTAGGGCAGCCCGAAAAATGCACACTGACGAGCCAGTCATCATTCCCGACGCAGCGACCCCTAGGACCGTTGGATTAGGGGGCGATCCAACGATCAACCCCACGCAAGCGCAGCGATCCGCGTCAGGATCGAAGACCGCGCGCTTGGGGAACGGTTTGCGTCTCGTACTCCATGAACTGCACCCTCCACATGCGGTTTTGGTAAGAGCAAAATTACTGAACCGCCCCTGGGGGTGCGGTCTGAAGACTATAAATACCCATTATTCTCTCTCTCTTTAAAATTATTCTCTCAATCCATCGCCCTCCCCTCCCAAAAGCCTAGGAAATGGTGGTTTGTTGGTTGCGGCTAAGTCCGACATGCCATTAGAAAACATTTCTTTGGTTTTACATTCAAAACCCGCCGAATCTCTGTCCGATTTTCGCGAAAAAATGGACAAGTGGTTCCAAGAAGAGGGATTTTATTATGATGAATTTCAACTGTCGATGGCCTTGGGATGTTATGGATGACACACATGTGTGTGTGTTCACCGCACGGGATATGACCCAATGGTCGTGTCTCTTGTTGTTGATGGCCCGAATCCTAGCAATGCAGCCCTCGTGTTGATTACGACATCTGACTATGAGCCTCTTCGTGTTGGAAGGAGTTGTGTGTCATTCAAATGCCGAGTCATTGCTTCAGTATCAATGGCGTGTCGCACCTCCTTCTTCGAACCAAATTGTTGGCCCTTCATAAACCCAGTGAGTGGACCCCATACTGGGACCTTTGGCGGCTCCATGTCGTTTTCGATACACCAATTGTTTGGAATGTGATTGTAGTACGGTATAGGTACACACAATGCAGTTAAAAGCGCGATTCTACCTAGAAGCGGAAAATGGGTAAAATCGTAAAACATAGAATCATAGCGTAAAAGCGTAAGTTTTTGACGCACCCTCTAAAATAGCTAAAATATGTTAAGTACAACATATAATATGTAAAATGTGAGTGCGTAGATTTTAGATAAGTGAATAACTACATGAAATTCATAATTAAAATGTAATATCTAACACATAAACTAATTTGTGTTGCCTCAGAAGTAGAGAAAACTCATAACATCTTAATAATAAGCTCATAAACGTAGATCATAACCCGCAAACGAGCTTGAGAATCCAAATTCTCATAAGTTGGTTTGATTTTACATAATTACATACGATCAATTACCCATAAACTTTTATCATAACACAGGTAAGAGCCATAGGTGAAGATTAAGGGAGAAGACTGATAGAAGGTCAGCGTCTGTTGAGAATACCATTAGGTGTCTTTTCAACCTAATGTGAAGCCCCTATCTCGACACTAGTTGTGGAACGAGTGATGAATCATGTTTTCCTTTATTTATTTTTGCTGATATGTCTCCAAAATTACATCTTTTGGGCCAATTAGCACATTTTTATGAGATGAACAAAATCGTATAAAAACGCTTCAAATTCGTGATTTTACTGATTTTATCCATGTTTTTACCAGTTTTTGTGAGTAGGCGACTTTAGGTAGACTGAAACGTTTTGGTGGCCTGGATCATGAAAGGCACCTTCATCAGCTCCGTAATGGTAGTTGTGAAAACTACCGTTGCCTGAATGGAATTTGTACTCAGGTTGGTTGGCATGGTCCCATTGGACTTCTTCTTCATATTATGGGAAAGATTGATGATGACCTTCACCTTGCTCTTGGTACTGAAAGTAGGAATGAGGATCATGGTAACTTTGGTAGGGATGATCTCCATATAATTCACCTCCACCATGGACCCCAGATGTTTGACCGTCTCCAGAATGACCTCCAACGCCTTCGACCGCCTCGGTGTGAAACATCTCGGCTTTGGAAAGATTATTGGACCTCAAGAATTCGAGCATGGCATCTACTTCATCCTGAGTGGTTATGAGATATTCCTCATGCCACAACGACCCGCCTTCTCTATTTGGATATCGGTACACCATACGATCAACTCTTCTTGTGCCATACATGCAAGTAACGTCAGTACACATTTGATGGAGGTCTTCAAGCATCGGTCTGGTAGTGACCTTTATTTTCTGAAAATTGCCACCGACGTATGTGACCTCCCTTTCCGGTCTCTTCAGTGTAACCATTCCACCGTAACCCAAGCGTAAACTTTTGGAATGCCATCTGCAATACAACCGTAATTCAGTTAATATCTTAAAAATAAAAAATCACAATAAAAAGTAATATAAAATTAACTTACGAGTTAATGTTAATCGCAAAAATAATAAAAAAACAGGTTGCTACAACATAAAATTGAAGAAGAAGGAGAGGTGTGAAGATAAGAGGTTTCCCGGGGCTGCCTTTTATAGGCAAAATCATCACTGAAAACCGCAGGGGAGGGGTGGTTTTCATCTGCCATGTAGCCCCACATCTGTCACCCTGCATGGCCAACATGCTGGATGCCGGGAAAATGGGGACCACACACAAACCGCACCCCCTCCCCCACGTTGAAGATGTTGAGGATGCGGTTTGTGTGGGATAAACAGAACCGCAGCCTCAACAAGCGATTTCGCTAGGTCAGAATAAGAACCGCATGGCCGAGGTGCGGTTCTGTTAGGTCAGAATAATAACCGCTCCTCCATGCTGCGGTTTTAGCCCAGAAACTCAGACCGCTCCCTCAGGATGCGATTCACTTGTAAACCGCACTGCCGAGGTGCGGTTTTGAAAAAAAGGTGCTATTTTGGGGGGGGGGGAATTAAAATGGTGCTATTTCTGAAAAAATCTCTCACCTGGATGACATATCATGTACAGCTAGACTCATAATGTTACATGGACGCAATAACACATTTTAAATTAAGTTAAATAATATAGAATGGCTAAATTACACGTTTGGTCACTTAAATTATACAAATCTTTCACTTTTGTCACCCGAGTTACTTTTCTTTCTTATTCGCCACTAACTTTACAAATCGTTTCATCATTAGTCACTGACCGTTACACTCCGTTAGATTTGTCCTACGTGGCAGTTAACTATAAAGTTTGACCGTTAACTATATGACGTAAAAATTAAAAAATTATTTTTCCACCTCATTATTTCACTTACTTTGTCTATGTGATTTATTATATTAATTATAAATTAGTAAATTACAAATGATAATTATCAGTCCACACGGCTAGGTCGGCGAAGAGACCCGGATGGTCGCCGTCCACTGAGCGATGACCTTCTCCTCCCTCGTCTCCAAGCAAGTCGGCGTCCCTACCGTTGCCGTCAAATACCAGCTCCCCTTGACCATCTTCTTCTTTTCAATCCACCAGCGTCCACTTTGCAGATCCTCCATCGACTCCTATTGGCTCTCGGTCTGCTTGTCGTTGTGCTTCTCGGGAATTTCAGCTTGATCGGGAGAGTTGAACTCCGAATCGTCGTGGGAGTTGTCTACAACTTCAATTGTAGCTGGTGATTCTCGTGATTTTCCACTCCTGAATCGATTATTGAATCGACGAACTCTTGCAACGCAATGGCCTTCTTGATGACTCGCTTCCTGAAATCCCTGACGCGGGGTCCAAGCCAGGGACGGATTTCCACCGTAAATCAGATCCCTACCATCTCTACAAATCATATCTGTGGCCCAAAAAAAAAATCAGATCTGTTGTATTCGAGATCCTGATTTTCATCGCGTTTAATGAAGCCCTTTGTTATCCCTGCAATCTTTTTGAAGCTCTTTCTCACCGTGAATCCCCTGAACACCTTCTGGATCTTCTTCGCGACCGAGTCCGATCTGTGGAGCTGCAGATCCGAAGACCTCGCTCGAGTCGGAGAAGAGGAGTAGACACCAACACCACCTTTCGCGCCGGCGGTGCGGGAGAAGGAGAAGGTGTGGCGGGTAGTAGTATTGACACGGGTAATTCCATCGATTACCATAGAAGGGAATGGATTTGGTACAAGTTTTGTGGAGTTATGTTTTTTGCTTTAACATCAGGGAGAATTCCGAGAGCGTGGAGCAGGAAGTGATGTCTCTGCCATTTCTTCCTCCCACCCATATTTAAATTTTGTAATTTACTTATTTTTATTAAATAATTAAAATGATAAATTATATGGAAAATTAAGAAGAATGATGAGGTGGAAAAATAAAATAAAAAATTAATTTTTTTAAATTTCCACATCAACTAGTTAAAAGTCAAACTTTAGAGTTGACTGCCACGTAGGAAAAATTTAACAGAGTATAACGGCCGATGACTAACGGTGATACGATTCGTTAATTAAGTTAGTGGCGAATAAGAAAGTAAAGTAATTTGGGTAGCAAATGTAAAAGATTTGTATAATTTGAGTAATCAAAAGTGTAATTTTGCCAATAAAGAATCATCTTCCCTACACCACTTGTTACTAACCCCTTTTCAACTTCTGTCCATCCCCAAACTCCACCTTCGTATATCGACCATTGATTATGTGCGAAACCAGCACTTGCACAGCCCGACACTACCTTGCATAGTCTTGTTGAGCAGCAACTTCGTAGCTTCAACGGACGTATCTCCATGTTGGACGAATCAAGAATGAAGAAATGGAGAGAATGGGGAAGGGATTTTAAGGATGGAGAGAATGGCGAAGCTGGCGTGCCCCACTGGCTAGCAGCAACATGTTCGCATTAGAGGAGGGATAAACCCATTGATGCAGGAGTGGATGGACGGAGAGGAACAAGTTTTGGATTTTGGATTTGACTTACAAAGATGCAGGATGAAGTCAAGTTAGGGATGGCAATGGGGTGGGTTTGGGGCGGGTTTGTCTAAACCATCCCCATATTCAAATATCCAAACCCATACCCGCTCCATATTCATGCGGGGGAATGTTTGGCAAATCCATCCCCATACCCGTGGGTACCCCATGGGTAATACCCGTACCCGCACATCCAACATTATTATCCTAAAATTTACAAGAAAATTTTTAACTACAACTCTAAACGTACCTATTATATCACGAATTCAACAAAACATGATCATTTTCTTAATACGGCTCAAAGAATATGATCCTAAAACATTCGTACATAATATAGAGTATAATATTTTTCAAATTAGTATGTTCTAACTCCGATACATCTACTATGTAATAATTAACTAACATAATCTTGTTGACAAGGGGGAAAGTGAAAGAGTGAAAGGATAATTGACGGAAATGAATTAGGTTTTGATTAAGGTGGTCACTCAATTGCATTTCTACTATTTATTTCCTCGAGTTATCCTCATCATCATTGATAGATTACAATTTGATCCACATATTTTTGTATATGTGACGAAATTCTCTTGGCGGGGCGGATATCGGTATGGGTATGGGGTGGGGGAGGCTAAAACCATACCCGCCACATACCCATCAAACTTTTTGCGGGTTTGACCCATACCCGCCCCATACCCGGTCAAAGCGGGGATTACCAGCGTTGACTGGCTTGGGGGCGATCGGGTACCCGCGTCCATGGGTTTGATTGCCATCCCTAGATGAAATTGCGGTGGGGAAGGGAAGGGATGGAAGGGAAATTCTGTTTTCATTACCCCGCTTTGACCGGTTATGGGGCGATCGGGTACCCGCGTCCATGAGTTTGATTGCAATCCCTAGATGAAGTGGCGGTGGGGAAGGAAGGTATGGAAGGGAAGTTCTGTTTTCATTATTATTAATTTTTCTGTCTTTTTTAGTTAATTACAATAAAAATGAGACATTTCCAACTAGGCGAAATCAAGATGAAATGTCGCCACGTCAACAAAAGACGTTAGTCCAGTCAGCATGTATCATTATGTCGTTAAAGTTATCAACCAAATGCTATTTTAGTATATTTTTCAAAAATTGATTATTATTGTCACACTGCAAAGTTATGTCTATTCAGATGTATTTTGCGTTTATTTGTATATGAATATATATAGATTGTAAGTAAATTGTCTTCAAACATATTTTATGTATGCTTAAATTCATTTGATGTTAATATTTTCATACTTTATTAAATTGGTATGAACCGACACAAATCGGTTGTAGCACCGATGGAACTAGACCACTTGATAAACCGGTTGTCCAGAACCGATTCCCACTTAGAGAGATGCAATTTTCAAGCTTGTGGAGCCCACGGATTTGGACCTCAAAGTTCGTAGGTCCCACGGATTTGTCCTCTAAATACAAGAACAAGCAGTATAGTTTGGACAAAGTCTATAATGCCATCAAACAACCCCTAATAATACCGGACAATACGAAACTCCAGAGGATCTCTATTATTGGACTTTACATCGTATATGTCATTGAGTGTTATTTGTTAAATTCAAATAGTGGCCAAATCTATATCTATCTATCTATCTATCTATCTATCTATCTCTATATCTATATCTATCTATCTATCTATATCTATCTATCTATCTATCTATCTATACTATATATTATGGCAATTCAAAAAAAAATTCTTGCCACATAAGTACTTGGAGGATCCACAATTTGCCAAGTTGGACAACTTTTTTTACAAACAAAAAATTAGTTATTAATGTATTTATGGAGCTACCTCTCTCTTCTTTAATATTTCCATTTCTTTTATCCAATTATTCTTTTTCATTTATCCATTAATTTTTTGTCTTTAATAATAAGTTACATGTTGATAAACTTAACCAACACACATAAATAATAAACTTTTGTTAAATAAACAAAATATAAGTAAGAAAACAGAGAGTGACATATATCACATTTATTTAAATAAAAAATATCTGATTAAACCTTATGAAATAAATTTTCTACTCATTTTTACTAAAATTCAACGATAAGTTACATTTTGATGAAAAAATAAACAAACATACATATAAACAATTATGTTCTAATTCATTAAACCAAAATATATATGAAAAGAGAGAAAATAAACATTTGACATTCAATTACCTTTGAAAAATAAACTATATTACTTTATATTTTGTTATAAAGAAACAATCTCTTATTCGTACAGTATATATCTATAAAATAAAACTGTATTATTTAGCAAAATGTTAGAGTTTAATCTTGATCGAGTAGTTACAGTTATTTATTTTAAAAAAATTCTTATTCATTCAGATCATGTTCTACCTTAAATTCCTCAAATGAAGAGGAATCGCATATGAAATAATTTGATAATGTGACATAAGTTCACATTAATAATATTTGCTCTATATCCTATTGATTGAGCAATCTCTATTGAGGTTCTAAGTCGTATGCTAAGAAATTTTCTTTCAGACTTGGAGTTATCTTCGACGATTATAAATCAAAAAATTTAAAATGACTTAAGTATGATTGTTGACGAACTTTGACTTCATACCCTAGGATGAGACACAAAATTCCTTGAAAAATAATAGATGTGAAGGTTAGAAAAATCTTTTTTCAAAATCTACGATAAACATCACGTTTCATCAAATACTAATCTAGGCATTTAGCAAATAAAGGTTGACAATTTTTAGTAAGATCATCAATTGGGATAAACATATTTATCCAGCAATCAAGTATCTTTATCCAATAATCTCAACTCTCAAAATTGGTTGTCAGCTCGTCTAGACTCGAGAAACACGAATTAATATATGTTGTATAAGATAATAAGTTAATGTAAATAATCAAATGAAATACACTGATATTGTTCAAATGATAAGACATTTTAAATGCACTTAAAATATGTGTGTATTGGAGACACTCTTTATCAATTATTAATATATAAGTGATAAAATCTTTGAAAATTACACATTCAGCGATCATGTTAAGACCAAAATCATCGATAGTGTGTGTGAGTGCCTTAGATTAAGATTCTAAGCCAACATATAAATAATGAACACCGGTTGAGGTTTAGTATAAACTTCAAGAATTAACAATTGATACATATTGTATAATATACTAAATTTAAGTGTCAGGATAAAAAAAACAAACATCCAAAATGAAAATGAGTCGATATTAGATAATTTAGTCATAATGAGGGCTACGGTGTGTGTCAAGTTTCAATATAGATGAATAAATCCAATAATGAAGTATCTTTACTAAGAATTTCTCACTAAAAAGTCGTAATTTTTACAACATTTGTCAAGAGTTCGTCCAAACTCGAGGATCATGAATGTGTATTGGATTTCCAAAGGACCTAAAATCCTAACCCCTTTCGAGGGCTAAATACCTCTTATCACAACCATAGGTGATAAAGTAGAATGAAAAAGAAGCCAAAAAAGCAAAAAGGAACATAACCTCCGATACGATGAACATAATAAAACCATATTGAGCTATGATCCTGTCATCCCTACCTTTTTATTCTCCATAAAGGGGACGGCGGGAGAGGATAAGAAATAAATAGTAGGATTTTAGTATTTATCTCTTTATATATTACATATCGAACGATAGACAACCCCAATGGTTGTCTGGCGTTATGGGGTAAAAGCGAGATCTCTTGATAATTTTGAGTCTAATATACATATACACACACATATATATACATGTATATGTAATATCAATGTATACTATAATTTATTTAACTCAAGATACGATAGAAGATAAGTATTACGAAGTATGTGCATAAATTAGAGGTTACAGAATTAGGGACTAGAGTTCACCTATTAGAGGTTAGGGTATAGTATCATGCCCCCAAAAAATCCGGTTAATTCGGGTCTAAATAATAAAACTCAATGGTCGTATGGTAGTATGAACACAAGAGTATAGCGTACTCCTGGCTAGGGCTGGGCATGGGGGCGGATCATCCGCGGGTTTGGGCCGATCCATCCGCATTTGACCCGAATTTCGTTAAGTGGGTGAGTCTGTGGGTGGGTGACGGGTTGCGCTGGGAGCCATCCGCCGGGTGGTGGGTGGGTTGTGAGTGAGTGTGTGGATGGCCCGCTCAACCCAACAGCAAAAAGATCAAAGTCGTTGGCGCTAGAGAGAGGAGAGTGGAGACGTTAGAGATCCCCTCATCTTGCCTTGACTTTTTCCTCTAATTCTTGTGCCTAGATCACCGCTCTTTCCTTTGAGGAATTATTTTTCTTAGTTCCTTGCACCTAATAATCGTCTCAATTTGTAGAAAACTCTTTCATA